TTGCCCATTTTTTAATAGGGTCGTTTGATTTTTTCTTGTTGATTTTCCCGAGTTCTAAGTAGATTCTGGTTATCAGCCCTTTATCGGATTTGTAGCATGCAAAAATTTTCTCTCATTCTGTATGTTGTCTGTTTGCTCTTGTGACAGTTTCTTTGGCTGTGCAGAAGCTTTTTAATTTGATCGGGTCCCATTTATTTATTTTGGTAGAACCCCTTTTAAATGTAAATATTTAGTGGACCCCCCACGTAATATCCATTAATTAAAAAAATACATAATAAAAAGCCTTATAAACTAAGTACTTTTAAATGTATAGCTGTTTTACTAGTCAAAACAGCAGCTATACACTTTTGAAAATTTATAGTACATACATGTGAAACAAAAATTGATTCGGTCTAAAGACATTGTTTACTTATGATTCCACACCATTCTGGCCATAATCCACCCCCTCCTTGTTTCCTACGTCCAGGCACTGAGACCCATAAGGTAAATACTCCTGCTGTACGCTATACATTTCATACCTCAAGCTTCCATATGCCTACTAGAGTTCTTAAACTTATTTATCCCAATAGGGGCTTTCAGAACCACTCTCCCACTGAAAGAAAAAGTAGCAAAGAAAAAAATAACTTCTTTCTATTGTCCTCAAGGCATAGGGCAAAAGAAAATAAAAGAACTTCTTTCATTGTGTTACCCATTTTTAAAATGATCTGGTTCTCATGATACCTATAATCGTTATCTAAGATAGAGGCTTGTGTATAATTAGTAATAGCTTAGACTTCCTTAGAATACAGTTTATATCCTTGTTTCTTTACCTATGTCTTCGAATTAGGAGCCACCCTCAAACATCCATTTTGAGTTTTTTTGTGATTATTTTTAGCTAAATCTTGCTAAATTTTTAGCTAAATCTTGCTAAATTATACATATTGGAAAGTATAGAAAAGATTATAAAATCAAATAACCATATGGCCTTATAACTTATGTTTAACTCTAAGGCAAAAATAACCTAAACTAGACTTGGAATAGAATTTAATTATTAAGCCCTATGTAAACTGATATTTTTTCATTCTCTTTTAGATAAGGAGATAGCATGCCAAGCATTGCATCTAGTAAATGGATATAAACTACGTGGGAAAATATTGGTGATAGAGTTTGGAAAGAACAAAAAGCAACGGTCAGATCTCCAAGCTGCTTCTCTCATACCATGTGCTACAGATGGTACTACAGAAATCAGTGGTAGCTAGAATATATATAGATTGTGGGTCCTCAGTGGTCTTTCTTGCATCTGAATCCTGGATCTAGGATTTGTGTACAGACAGCAATTTATTTGGAGTTGAAGAGGAGAAACTAACTGAGAGAGAAAAAAAGTAATTGGGACAATCCCCTTTAGCTTTTGGAGATAATTGGTAGAAAACAATTTCTATAATCAAAAACTATGTAGGACAGATAATATACTAAGTACAAAGAGTAGTGTACAAAAAGTATTGTTTTCTCAGGATAAAATTATAAAAAATTATTACTAGGGATTTTTCAAAATCTTTATAATTTTGCTGGGGTCTTCAATATTTGTCCCTAGAGATAACATTCTTTCCAAGACTGCCTCCTATATTCACACCCAAAAAACTAAATACATGTTGAAATATTTATTCACTAGATCCCACTTGTCCCTAATTTTATCCACCAAATAAATAAAAAAGCAGGACCCCAGGCTTAAGCATCAACATATGCTGTTAAGTCAGAATTATCATCAGTAACACTAGGTAGTTTCATAAGTCAGTCAACATACTTAATGAATGCTTCCCCACTAAGTTTTCAGAGCCTTCAAAAAGCTATATATTTTTCTAATGAAATACTTGAGATCAAAATATTGGTGTTCTCCTGACTGTTTAGCTAGCTACCATTGAGTAGTCATTGAGTTCAAAGCAATAAACATTGAATAAGTTTTTAATATATGTTAAATACTACACATATGAATTTTATGAGAGGAACATACTAGCAAAGAGTATCAAAAAGAGTTTGACAGAAGAGAAGATAGAAGAGAAGAAAGAGTTCTCTAGAAGAGAGGAAGCCAGTCTCAAATTCCCCAGTTGTTTGTTTATGGTTACTGGAGAATAAAAAGACAACATAGTATAGAGGAAATGGTACAAACTTTGGAGTGAGACCTATATTTGAACCTCACAACCACATTTAGCACTCCATGACCTTGGCAAGTCACTTAATCTTAGCCTCAGTTTTCTCATCTATAAAGTGAGATTAATCTACTTACCTCATTGGGTTGTGAGGATTAACTGATATGATATTATCCAGGCTGAGGAACAGAAAAATTAAATAATAAAGTCGAACAGAGTATAGGACCTCTGAGACACCATTGAGCACTCCAACATATGTGTAACAGGAGTGCCAGAAAGAGAAGAGAAAAGAAAGGAGCAGAAAAATAGTCCTAGAAATAATGGCTATAAACACCCGAAATTTGGGGAGAAAAATTAACCTACATATCCCAGAAGCTCAACAAATCTCAAGTAGTATAAACAAAAAGAAATCCACAAATAGACATATAAGATAAATGCCAAAACCCAAATACAAAGAGAAAATCTTGACAGCAATATGATAAAAATAAACTATCACTTATCAATGCGATTTACAGCTGTCTTCTCTTCAGAACCAGTGGTGGTGGCAATAGGATAACATATTCAGAGTGCTCAAAGATAATAACTGTTAACGAAGAATCATACATAAAGAAAGCTAGTTTTCAAAAATAAAGGTGAAATGAAACATTCCCACATAATCAAAAACTGAGAGAATTTGTTGCTGACAGACCTAACTTGCAGGAAATACTAAAGGAAGTTCTTCAGGCTGAAAGCAAGTGACCTCAGATAATAATTTGAATCTAAACACATATAGAAAGAGCACAGGCAAAGATAATTATGTAATTATCAAAGACAATCTATGCATTTTTCTTTCTTAACTAATTTAAAAAGCAATTGTATAAAATAATATGTATATAGATGCATTGTTTGGCCTATAACATATAAAATGTAATATATTTGTCAATAACAGGACAAAGGAGGTGGGTGGAAGCAAAGCTGTATTATACTAAAGAAGTACTCTAGATGGTAACTCAGATCCACAGGAACAAATGAAGTGAGTAAGAAATGGGAAATAAGGTTAACATAAAAAAATCTATAAACATATACTTGCTCTTCTTTTTTCTCTCTGCTTCTTTTAAAGACACAAAATTTTATTAAGTAATAATTATAATATATGTTGGGTTTATAACATAGATAGAGATAATATATATAATAATACCGCAAAAGGGGGGGAAGGAATGAATTTATATAGGAATAAAGTTTTTATATATCATTGGATATAAGCCTATTCAGTTTAGTTAAGGTATATATGGTAAGCCCTAGAGCAACCACTAAGGAAATAAAATACTCAATGCAAAAGAAAACAGAAGGAGGAATAGAGAAATAAACAAAAAATCCTAAGACAAATAGGAAACAAACAGTAAAATGATACTCATAAATTTTCCCATATCAATAATAACAATAAATGTGAATGAATTAAATAAGTCAATCAAAAGGGAGAATGTCAGACTAGAAAAAAAATGAGATTCAATATATAATTCAATATATAATGCTATATAATGCTATATTATGCTATTTATTGGAGACATACTTTAGAAGATATTAAATACAAAGAAATTGAAAGTAGAAGGCTGGAAAACAAATATATCATGCAAACAGCACCCATAAAAAAGCTAGAGTGGCTATTCTAATATCAGACAAAAAAGATTTTAAAACAAAAAAAATTACTAGAGATAAAGAGTGATATTTTATAATGATAAAAGTGTCAATCCATAAGGAAGATGTAACAATTATAAATATGTATGCATCTAACAACAAGGCCCCAAAATACATGAAGCAAACACTGATATAAAGGAAAGGAGAAATATACAAGTCTATAAAAAGAGGTGTAATATTCAATACCCCATTTCCAATAATAGAACTACTAGACAGAAAATAAGGAAACAGGGACTCAAACAATACTGTAAGTCAAAATTGACCTGAAAGATATCTATAGAACATTCTACCCAATAATATCAGAATATATATTGTTCTCAAGTGAATATGAAACATCTTTAGGCGAGACCATAAGCTAAACCACGAAACAAGCCTTAATAAATACAAGTGGACTGAAATCATGCAAAGCATGTTCTCTGACACATGGAATGAAGTTAGAAATCAATAACAGAAAGTTGGGAAACTCACAAATATGTGGAAATTAGATACACTTTTAAATAACTAATATGTCAAAGAAAAAAATCACAAGTGAAATTAGAAAATCCTTTGAGATGAATGAAAATGAAGACACAATATACCAAAACTTATGGGATGCATCTAAAGCAATAGTTAGAGGAAAATTTATAGGTATAAATGCCTGTACTTAAAAAGAAGAAATATCATAACAATAACCTCACTTTATACCTAAAGACCTTGTCAAAAGAAGAGCAAACAACACCTACAGCAAGCAGAAAGAAGAAAATAAAAAAAGACTAAATGAGAAATGAAGAGAATATAGAGAAATTATAAAGAAAAATCAATGAACCCAAAAGTTGGTTCTATAAAAACAGCAACAAAACTGACAAACCTTTTGCTAGATTGAACAGAAAAAAGGAGACTCAAATTACTAGAATCAGAAATGAAGGAGGAAACATTACTACTGACCTTGTAGAAACAAAAAGGATTATAAAGGCCTGTTATGAACAATTGTATGTCATTAAATTAAATAAAATAGATGAAATGGACAAATTCCTAGAAAGACACTACCAAAACCAACTTGAAAAGAAATACAAAATTTGAATAGACCTATAACAAATAGGCTAAATTAGTAATTTAAAAAATACCCATAAAGAAAAGCCCAGCTTCATATGGCTTCTTAGATGAATTCTACTGAACCTTTAAAGAAAAATTAATACAAATTCTTCACAAACTCTTCCAAAAAGTAGAAGAGCAGTGAACACTACTGACACATACTACAATATGGAAGAACCCTTAGAATATGCTTAGAATGAGCCACCAGGCGTGGTGGCTCATGCCTGTAATCCTAGCACTCTGGGAGGCCGAGGCAGGAGGATTGCTTGAGGCCAGGGGCTGGAGACCAGCTTGAGCACAGCAAGACCCCGTTTCTACAAAAAATAGAAAAAATTAGCCAGGGATGTTGGCGCATGCCTGTAGTCCCCGCTACTAGCTCAGGCAAACAGAGGAAGACTCTGTCTCAAAAGAAAAAAAAATGCTCAGTGAAAGAAGCCAGTCACAAAAGACTACATATTATATGATTCCATTTATATGAAGTGTCCAGAATTGGCAAATATATATAGACAGAAAATTCATTAGTGATTGCTTAGGGCTGGGGTAAAGGGTAGGGAGAATGGGAAGGGCTGGGGGTAATAGCTGAAGTATATGGGGTTTCTTTAGAGGTTGATGAAAATGTTCTAAAATTGTGATGATTTCACAACTCTGAATATACTAAAAACCATAAATGGTACAAAAAATAAGTGAAGTACGGTATATGAATTATATTTCAATAAAACTGTCACAAAAGTAGGAAGTTGGATATAACCCAAATATCCATCACTAGGAAAATGGGTAAATAACTTACAGCATGTCCATTTAGTAGAATACTGTGCAGCCATCAAAATAGTGGAGTATATCTATGAATATATTCTGACTTGTACTCATGTCTAAGATTTTATATTAAGTTTTAAAAAGATGCAGAAATATGTATAGTATGAATACATTTTTAAGCAAAAACATTCATATATGTATGGTATATGTGTTTATAGGTATTTCTAAATAAATTTTGGAAAAAGCTAGGAAATATACATACCAAATGGTAGACCTTTTGGAGGTGAGATTGAGTATGCTGAAAAGGGACTTTCACTTTGTAAACTTTTTAAAGTGGTGTGATTTGGTGTGATTTTTACTTTTTTCAGTATTTTTTAAATTAAAATTTTTAAAAATCCTCTGCCAATGGCATGGCTTCCAAAATATTTGTCAGAACTACTCTGAGGATATAATCTGACTATACTCAGGACAAACTCCTATTCCTTCGATATACTTCCTACTTAGGATTAACTCTGCAATTTTAAATATAGTTTAAGGGACAAGAAGTAAATTATCCTGATACAGCCTCTTGCACATGTTACCCAGGGACATACTTCTAAGCTGGACTTTTCAGAAGGAACTGCTTCCTGTTAGGTGGGAAATCTCACCTCTGCCCTTTACTAGACCTACAAACCACTAACAATAGAGGAACATAAAATGGAGTATATCCTTCAACTGGTGCATAAAGAAACTGTAGTATATCCATACAACGGAATCCTACTCAGCAATAAAAAGTAATAAAACATACATGCAACAACTTGGATGAATCTTAAATGCATTTTGCTAAGTAGAAGAAGCCAAACTCAAAAGGCTACTTACCATTTGATTCCATTTATGTGATTTTCTGGAAAAGCAAAACAATAAGGATGGAGGAAAAAAATCAGTGGATGTCAGGGGTTAAAGTGGGATACTCCTTGACTACAAAGGGGTAGCACAAGGGATTTGTTTTCATAATGGAAATTTTCTGTATGTTT